GATACTCGGAATAATAATCTATAATGTGTTCAGCAAAATATTTGAACAAATTATATTGTTTATTACACGCGACACGAAAAAAATTGGAATTAATTTTTTTAACCTGCTCAATGTTTCCAGCATGATGATCAAACACTTGATTAAACTGAGACAATTTGACGCGCACGAGTAATTTTCTCATTTTATTTTAATTATAAACATTTTGATATCAGAATAAATGTCGTAAAAAATATGTAGAAATTATATATAGTATAGAAATTAGTTTTCATTTTAAATGCACATTTGATACATTTTATATTATACTGCGGTATACACTTGGTAAACAAAATTTATTTTCTATTTATAGTATTGATTATTATTTTACACGCTCATCCTACGCTAATCAACATGAGAATATTCGTGACAATTTCACAGAGAATTTTCCTCGAGGCTAATATTGATTATAGTTTATATAGCCGATTAATGGAACGAGTTTCCATTAGCTAAAATACATTTTAAATTTACATGTTGATTAATACTGAAAAAATCTATTTCCAGCATATCGCGCACGTATATCTCTTTCAATATTATTCTAATTATCTTTCACTTTGAAAAAAATAGCGCATTTAAAGATTAATAAACGAAGATAAAAGTTTATTGTTTTTCTCATTTTCATATATATATATTCACCATTTTGCACCGCATTTAATTTTCATTGCAATACGTTTTCATATATTTTTCATTAAAGTAGAATTTTTTTACGCCTGTATCTCCTCAGTTTTTCTGGAACGAAGACAAATTTGAAGCGATATAATATCCCCGACGTGAATAATTCAGATGATTTACAGACTTTGAGACGGGGAAAGAGAGAGATCAAAGATCTCGTCACTCGATTAATTAAGAGGTTAAAAAGGTTTAAACGGCGTGCACAAAGAGAACCTCGCACGCACGGCTAACGAGTCAGTTTCCGACGTACATATTCGCTTCTTTCCGCGATCGTCGGCCGATTAACGTCTCCCGTTATTACGCAATCGCGCCATGGCTGGCTAAGCCCACGCGCGCAATCATTTTTACATTCCATTATCATCTCTCGACGGAAGAGATTCTCGCGCGCTGCGATTCGTCCAGGAATGTCGATCGATGAATTATGTATATGCGTGGCGACTATTTGCCGCTGACAGCCTACAATTCTCTTATTGTTTACTGAATACGTTGTCTTTTATGGAGCTTCGTGCAAACCTGAAGAGGCGTTTCGCGGGAAACGAAATTTCCCAAGACTAAGATTAAGAAATTTTATGAACCGTAATGCAAACATCATCGTTGTACCGTACCATGAATCGAAATATTTCCATTTTCCTCCCCAAAAATTCAGATTCTCGTTTATACCGACAAAGATTGATTTATGTCAAAGTACAATACTTATATGATACACAGAGAAAATTTTCTTTTCGAACTTACCCTGAAAATCATGGTAATCGTGGGACAATATTTTCCAGGAGAGGGTATAATTAATTTTTTGTTCTTTCTTAATTTTTTAAATTTTATTTTTTTATTTTCATTTTTTATATTAAATATGCAAATAGTGTTTTTGAAAGGAGAGCAAATGCTTAATTTTTTTACTGACTTCATTATTGATTTTATAATAGTTTCTCTGATTAATATTTCCCACAATAAAAATATTAATATTTACTACACAATAAGATATAAAATATATTCGATTAATTTAATTCTGTACATAGTAAAATTTACTATGGCACATATTACTCTTGTTTCTTGCGGTAAATATTAATCAGAGAAACTCTTTTCTCTCAAAGAGAAAATTCTCTCCGTGTAGAAGAAGAAAGTTATATACGTGATCTTTCACTTTTAATGTTTTGTGATTTAATCCACTGCAAGAGTTGCCAGAGGAATGTCGAGGATTCATCGACGGATATCGCGAGCTAAATCGAGCGACGAGTGCCTATGATTCGTGAGTAATTACGAGCAAATCATAGTCACCTTTGCGTGCCGCGCGCACTAGTGCGCGCGTAGAAGATTCGGGTCAGTGCATTCGCGGAAACACCTGAATTTTACAGTACCGTTAATTACGCCGGCTAACACACCTCGCATTCCTGGGGCGCAAGCGCGGCGAACGTTTCATCGGAATTAATATTCTCCCGCGCGAGCTCGATCTTTGCTCTCATTTGCATATGACGTAATGCAGAACATAATTAGAACCTATAAAAAAAAAAAAATAAATTTTCGAGAAAAATTTGTTCTCGCCCCACCTCTCCATTTTTCACGATATCCTCATTATCCGCGTTTCTGCTCTTTCATTCCAGTATATAGAGTCTCGTTACACGGGAGACGAATTTATTTCAATATGGCAAATTTGAGGAAATTGCGCAAAACGCACTAAACGAGGCTAACTCGAATTAAATCAATCGAATTCCTTTTTGTCGAATGTTCATTTCGCGATTCCGGCGTTTAATTAAAGATTGATCTCACCGTGCTATATGAATGACTCACGTATACACGTTACGCTACTATACGCGGTGCGTTACGCGTAATCTGCGATCTAAAAGTAGAATTCCAGCCGGGAGGCTTCAAAGCAGACGTGTGTGCATGTAACATATGTAAGTGTGTGCGTTCGCGTGGGAATCATTAGAGCTCCGGTGTAACATCGTAATACGGCACGAAAAGCCGCGACAGTTTAATTCAATTTACGCGCTCCCAGTCTTATACCGTCTCGTGCGAATTGCAACTACCCTTTCCCGTGGGGAGTCGGCAATGTTAGTCGATCCCTCGCGCGATTTCACATTTAATATTTACCTGGCGCATTTGCCGATTTTAGCCGAGACTGCCGAATTACACCGACGTATGTTGGATGTATGTATATATCGATCGTTACCGCGCGCAACAAATCGTGATTAAATGGAATAAAATCCACCATCCCTTTTTACACGTCTCGCGAATATTGTACATTTATCCGATTACATCTCTTCTCCTCTCTCTCTCTCTCTCTCTTTTTTCCCGCCTCTTCGATTCCTCTTATCGTTTACTGTTTTATGAATATTTAGCGCTGGGTTCGACCTTTATTCACGTCGGTCGGATGATACATCGCCGTTGAAAACCAATTGTTTGCGGAAAATACGCAATTTGCATTGATCCGAACCGGCGTTTCCGATAAGCAGCATGGTTTTTCGCATTTTCGTTTAAACTCGCTCCATTAAATACGTTTTGTTTAATTTATATTTCAGGCTCGCGCCGCTATGCATTTAATATCCCTCATCCACGTGAGTCAGATTTTCAAATCTAGTCCTGTTAATTATGTTAATTTACATTTATCGACGTGCGTTATCGCGACCTCTCCTCACCCGAGAGGTTTTATAATCCCCAAGGAAAATGTGTACAGAGAATTAAAAATTGACATAATTGAAATAAAATAAAATTTCAATACGCACACGCAAATAACATTTAAATTGAAGCGAAATTTAAATCGAAGTTTATTTTCTGTTTATGACGAAATTATTCATGTCTGTTGTTCCATTGTATTTTCTATATTTTAGCGTTGTTTGGAAATATTTTAGCTTAATCTCTCTTGTGAAATACAATCAATACCAATTAATATTTGTATATTGTACATAAACAGGATGGTCCGGTTAAATTGCTCATCCATATTAATTTCCTTCCTGAGTGCTTTACAGAAAAATTGTCAAGAAAAAAATTATTTTGATCGATCCAGGGAAAATATTAATTAAAATAAAAGCAATTTAGATGAATCATCGTATTTTATGAAACTGTTATTTATATATTACATAGAAAAATATTCAAGATACTTTGATGATATTTCTGCAATAAAATCTGTGATTGAAATACATTTCTTTTTATAGAAAAATCATGTTATTTCATATTATTGATCACGAGCGAATTAACTTTCGTTTTTGGATTTTTTAACTATATATTCCACGCACGATCTCCACAGCGGACGTATTATAATATTTACTGTCCCTGAGTTGAGGAACCGAATTAATTCAAACCGGATATCGGTCAACTGCCGGAAATTCTATGAACGACAGAACGTGCCGCCGACACGTGTCGGATCGGCGCAATCGTTATATACGGAAGCGCGCCTTCTGCTATTTATCGCCGATTTCCGGAACGTGGTCGAGTTTGAAATTGGCGAATTTTGCCGAAATTTTAACTTTAAATTTAACGCTTTAAATTTTACGAAAGCATCCCCGAGTTTTTGCAACCCCGAACTTGTAATTCCTCTCGTTCACAACATTTAAAGCGTCCATATATATATTATATATATTTTTAAATTCTTCGCTAAATTTATAATTATATTTATATCAGATTTTCTCAAATTATGATTATTATTTACGGCACCGTATATTTTTTGCGCCGCGCTCTCTCGTTGGCAAAACGATGGATTAGGAAGGTCGGTCGGGCTTCTCTTTTGCAAATTAAAGCGGCGCCTAATGCGCATGTGAGGCATGCAGTGGAAATGCGGCGGCGGCGGGGCCATTTAGCGGAGCACGCACGTAAATTTCCGTGCTAGGTGAAAAATTAACGAGGAGAACGTTCTTCGCCGGCCGCTTTGCGCCGCGCGTCCGCGAGTTTGAGAGTTTATTACGCTAGATTTGCGAAAGCAGTTACAGGAACCGTTTTCCAGTAGATAATTTCTGGTACTCGCTCTCAGAGCGAAGCGCAGTTTCTAAAATTTTACGCCAAGTTAATCACGTTATCAGGACTGATAAATTAGCCAATAAAATTGCACGAGCTTCTACTTTCAGCTGATTATATACTTCGCGTTCGTATATATTTTCCAACAATGACGCAACATTGTCATATGTTAAAGAATTTCTCTTAATTAAAATTGTTTAACTTAAAAAAATTTATTTTCTCGTGTGTCGAATACTTCAACAATTTTTTCGTGTAATTGAAAAATATTCCCTCGCACATTTATAAAATGATGAAACACCATACCTATAGATATGTTCAAACATTGTTTTAATAGCGAAATATTTTCATTTCAGAATCTCCTGGTCACCAATATTCCTTCTCTTCGATAAGAATTAAGATGCCGCCCTGCGATAGAAGATGAACGATGAAATAGCTTCGAAACCCAGCGACATTTGCCTCGCCGACGAGGATGCACCTATCGGCGCCTCTCGTCCGACCGCTTCATGGATCACGTCGAGGAGGTTGACGAACGTCGCGGCGGGAGACGACGCGTGCTCGCGGAACGTGCGGAGTTTCACGACCTTTTGGGCTTCCGGTCCGTCGGCGTCTGACGACGGCAAAATGCTCAATCATCGGCGGGAGTCGCTTCAGCAACGTCACGCGCGACAATCGTCCGCCTCGAGGAGGGACCAGAATTACGAGGGAATCGAGAACGCGGTGCTCAGGTATCAGAAGCCGAGGCCGCGACCCAAGCGACAGATCAGCCGGGACCAGAACGAGAACTCGAGCAGCGACGAGAGCGTCGCGAGAAACAAGTCGAAGAGCACCAGCTCGATCGACGCGCAATCGGTGAACAATATTCTGGACGAGTACGAGGATCTGGATTATTGCAGATCCTCGGACCTTAGCGACGTCGGAAATATCAACGTGACCAACTTCGAGGCGATCATAATGGATCAGCAGAAGCGACAGCAGCAACAGGAAAGATCGAAGCTGTCGAGAGTTCACGTTAAATCGATCCTCCCGACGAGGGAGAGGATTCAGCCAGTGTTGAAGGTGAACCAGCAGACTCAGGTGAGGCAGCGTTCGCGGGACAGACAGAAGGATTCCAGTAAAGTACATCAACAGGACAATTTCGCGTCGTCGACGACGACGGACGCGATCGAGAGCGGTTGTTCGAAGATGCCCGAGATCCTGCTGCGGAAAGGAGAGGTCCAGAAGCGAGTGGACGAGTGGCTGAATCAGGCGCACAGTCAGAATTTCCCGGTGTCACCTCGCGAGAAACCCCTGACGAGATCCAACAGCAGCGCCGAGAAGAGCCAACGACGATATCGCGTCCAAGACTCGCGATCGCGCTCGATCGACGAGGCGAAGAATAGATTGAACGGTGGAACTTCGTCAAGTTACGACGATCTGACTCGGATGGATCGTAAACTGGAGCGTGGCAGACCGGACAGAGTAAACGTTGGCGTGAACACCAATAGAGGCGCGTACAAAGAATATCTCGCTGTAAGGAACAAAGTTAAGCAGCAGGATTACGGTTTCGGTGCTCAGTCGAGTGTCCCTTTGAGATCTGGCGATTCCAGCCCGGCTTCTAGAATCCCTCAGAGAGAGCCCTTCGGTTCGAGCTTCAGATCTAGACGCGCCGAACTAAATTCCGAAGAGAAAAGCTCGGCTGATGGCAGGTTTGCGAATTTAGCGAAGACGAAAAGCGAATCTAATCACGGTAGAGCGATCGTTAATAGCTCCAAGATAGCCGAAGTGTCTACCATCACGTCGACGACAGCGACGTCAATCATTTCCTGCAGAAAGCCATCGCTGAAGCGTTCTGGGAATAGCGCGGATCAGAATTCCGCGGTGGCACGTTTGCTCGTTAAGGAGGAGACTGATCCGCGTTCGCCGCGCGGAACTGGCTTCTCGAAGGGCAGCCTTGATAACCAAGGTGAGCCGATCTCACCAAATAAGGACGGAGAAAGTAGACGGCCAACTGCAACGGCGAGCGGACCGACGCCGCGATTCGTTGCAACAGTTGCCGCCGCCGATAAAGCAGTCGAGGCGACCTGTAAATCGACCGAAGCGTCAACGAGTTGCGCTACCGATCATACCCGAGACAACTCATCGTCGAGAATCGGCCCGATGGAATCGGGGGTCGCGATCGAACCGCGACGTCGACTTCAGATTTCCAGCGATCTCCGCAAGGAGGCCAGATCGATCGATCAGTCGCGACCGGAGCAGCCGATGTACGATTTGACAGTTGGCGCCCACGTGCGCGCCCTTCAAGGCCGAGCGGAGTCACGTGGCGACCCAAGAATCAGGTGTCGCCAGATCGGAGGAACGTCGCAGATGGAGATTAATAAAAAACCACCTGTCCTCTCGCGCAAGGATCTCGGGATGTCTCCTTCGCGAGATGTAGAAACGCAGGATCGAGCGAAGGCGCCGATCGGCGCGTCTTCGTCGAGCTTCAAGCCTAACAGTCGTGCCTATATCGCGACGAGCGATTCGCAGAAACAATCGAACGAACAAAATGTTACGAGACCCACGATCTGCGAAGCTGTTTCGTCCGGCAAAATTACGCGTTACACCTCGCCCGATCACGTGGAGAGGATTTACGAACGTAGTCTGCAGCCACAAGTGATTCACGCGGACGATTTGGAATCGATCCTTAGACCGTCGCTACCGGTGTCGCCTTACGGGGAAAGAATCGGCGCTTCCAGATTGGATCGAGACTCGCCCGTGAAGGAAACGTCGACGATTCTCGAGGACGAGTCGCGACACGAACATCTCGAGACTATCGTGGAGGACGATCGGAAGAGCGAGGATTCGGCCTGCAAATATCCGGAAATTGGGTTGAAGCAGTGCCTGAAGGTGCAGCAAAGTTTGCCGAACGGTAGGTCGAGAGATTCGACGGATAAAAGGAAGGATAATTCGTCGATTTATGCCAAGGAGCAGCAACATCCGGTTGTCTTTAACGAGTCCGCGAGGACTTTCGCGACTTTTCAAACATCCTGTCAGGGTAATGTCAAGTCAAATGTCAAGTCAAATGTCAAGTCAAACGTCCAGTCTCGATCCGTGGAAATGAAACAATCCAAGGAAGACATTAGACAAAATTCGGACGAGGCAACGATGGCTCTTCAAGATCTAGTAACTGGCTATCAAAACGCATCGCGAGAAGATCAGAACCGATCGACGATTCATTCGCGAGAAAATAGTAATCTGTCAACTGCTACAATTCCTATCGACGAACTAGAGAATCAAAGAAGCTCGAGGTCGAAGAATGAAGGGGATTCTTCTCAGAATAGACTTCAGTTTGGTGAAAATACGCAAGACCGCGTTGAAGAGACAGCGAAGAATGCTGAAGAGCGTGGTGCAGTGATCAATGAAGTTCTTGTTAAAAATCTACGTTTTGAGCAAGATTTGCCTGAAATTTCAACCGAAACAAAAGTGTATCATAGTGTTCAACAGGTGAATTTTCATAATATTCTGTGCGACGATTACGAGAACGAGAAACTGAGGAACAGAAAACTATATATGACGAAGGAGGAAATGGATCACCAGAGATTGATAGAAATGCTGAAGAAGGGAGACTTCGAGGCGTTAAAGACGGTGAGTGATATAGACATTTTACATGTTTTTATATTAGATTAACAACTTACGTTAGTTTGACGATTCATCATCGAACTGTTGAAATATTCAACATTTAAAAAAAATCGATAATATTTCATTACAATTTCATTAATATGAAATATAGGTACATATAAATACATATTTTAACATATTTATATTAAGTCATTAATCTTTCATGTTTTCGTATAATCGTAAAAAGTGAATTGCTGTAACAAATAACATGCATTCATCAGCAGTAATTAAAAAAAAAAAAAAAAAAAAAAAAAAAAAAGTTTATCCGGCGGTTGAAATTCAATCCTGATGAATCGACAATGCGCGATTCGGTTTTCGTATCGATTGTTTCTCCCCGCCGCGAAATACTGTCTCGTTTTAGTCGCGATAAAACTTGCCAACAAGATATGCTTGACAGTAAACCAATAATTACACGCGTGCCGCTACACGATAGTTTGCGCGACGAATCCGCAGGCTCTTTCGGTAATTACACGCCCGGCGTATAATCGAAGTTGTTCGTTTCATTCGGCTCTTTATTCCGATTAGGTAACAAATATACCAAAATGTTTACACAACGACACGATACTATTTACGTGTTGTCGCATTGTCAATATTCAGTTATTTAACACAGTACGAATCCTAATTTTCCGATAATATAATCAACAGAATTAATCGAGCTAAACATGATAGTGAGATAAATGAGATTGCAATATTGTACAACAAAAAGAAATATATATATATATAATAATTATTTCTTATAATTATAAAAAGTCATAATTTACGAGTTCATCAGTTAATTATTCTTTCGTCTTTTTATAAAAATCACAAATGATTCTTGCATCGCATTATACAAGTGTATATTTAAATAAACATATATAACTTTTCTTATATAAGAGTGAAATATGTAGAGATAAAAAGCTACAATATTTAATAGAGAAAATAAAAATGAGAAATTATTTAAATATTATTTAAGAATGATAATTGATGATTTAAGAATGATAATTGATAAATAATATTTGCGTGTGTGTATAATTGAATTATCTCAGCTAGTATAAAAATTGAGATCTGTTAATAAAACAAATAGCACGTGTTTTATGAGAATTGTAAAAGATGCATCATCGACCTAAGCGACTTATAAGACGTGCAAAATGTCGCCATTTTACTAATGTCGCGTGTCATAAAAGAACATTGTGACGTAATGTAATTATCAAGTTTCAGCGTCGCGGTCGCCATAAATGTGATATAATGGGATTCGCGTGCTCCGCAAATGTCTCGGCATATCAAATTTTCCTCGAAAAGAGGGAGAAAGGGAGAGAGCGTAATATTTCATTTCCGAATGCGGAATGCAGAGGATGCGAAAGGATAATTCGCCAGACCCGATTTGAGATATGCGAGATGCGTACCGCTGGTATTTCGCGATATTTTGATATCGATGTCGATGACGTTATTTCATCGTGTCTATCGGATCGAAAGATAACTCTACCGCATACAAAAGGAATTTCAATAAAAATTCCGGTTCCGGAATAGCCACGCTGGAAGAGCTTTTTTTAAAAAAAAAAAAAAAATATATATATAGTCGTCTTTAAAAAAATAGTCTTCAAAAAAAATATTTGTAAAAAAATATTTTTCAATTTTGCATTTGTCAATAAAGAGAGCGAGAGTAAGTGAGAGAGAGAGAGAGAGAGAGAGAAAGAAAGAGAGATATTTCTTTCTTTAATATAAACTATATAGCCTTTGATACAAATATTAACTTTGTTTCGAAGGCATCATGCAGCTGCATGATGGATAAATATTGTGACTGCAACACGCAGGTATGTAGTATATACATGTTCCAAATGGTACAGCTCGTAAAAACGTAAAATATAGACGCGAATGATAAAAATGTGCGCGAAACACACGTGGAGCAAAGATTTAAATAACAGACACGGACAAAGGTATATTAAAACATCTAAACCAAATTATCAAAACATAATGAATTATGTATGAAATTAATTTGTTAATTGTTTGTTTTCTTTACTGTAAAAAAATGTTTGTTCAAACTATTAAAAAGTTACGAATGCTTATAAATTAAGATTAAGCCATAATAGCTTTGTTAAACATAGCATATACATAAGTCAGAGCAAAATATTCATAGTACCAACATTTTTTTGCTATTTTTTATTGCATAATAAGTATAAAAAAGTTTTTAAAATGATATTGATAAATGCGGCGCTCAAGAATAAAGCATATTTAACATTCGTAATTTTTTAATAGTTTGAACAAAAAATTTCTTTACAAAAAAAGCAAAAAATTAGCAACTTCCATGTATAATTTATTACATTCTGATTATTTGACTTAAGATATCTTAAGTCAAACTATCAGAATACCTCATGGACGAGTCGAGAGTAAAAGAGAACTCATCGTACATATCCCGACGAAGGAGACTCTGGACATTGCTCGTGACCGCTTTTAAAGGTGTACGGAGGAGAGGATTTCTCGACTCGTCGTATAAGAAATAAGGGTGACCGTAGTGGACCGAGGGTGAGAGACAGACAAAGATAAGGAGAGGAAAAGAGAGAGAGAGAGAGTCGCACGATTTATGATTTGACCCAGCTGGGAACCTAGCATAAGGTATGCGGTTCATAGTACGCTTTAACGTGCAAGAAAGGTGCAATAAATTGTTCCGCGCGTGCAAATGCGTCTCGAGAGCCAGGGGTAAATGCGAGACTCGCCCTTAACGAGATTCGCAGGACGAGGTCGCTCTCTTCCTCCTTTCCTTGCGACGTTGACCTTCAAAGACGCGATCAACTCGTTTCCCTCTAATATGCTTTTATATAACGTCGTTGATGGAAAATTTTCTGTTATATTTCTGATGCATTACGCGACACGTATGCAATTTTATTCACTTTGTGATATATTGAAAAAAGAATAACGATATAAAAAAAAATACAATTATCCATATTTGCCAGATATTGCCTGTCTATGTGAAAAAATGAAGGCGGAATTAAATATTACGGGTTTAAATTCTATCGAATCACTCAATATCTTTCTCGATTATTTTTACCTTAATATAATAATAATCCCGAATATTTTTTTCGCAGTAAAATAACGATCAAATAAACTGTAAAAGAGAATGGAATTTGAAAATAATTAACTGTTACATCGGCGTCGTCCACCATTTTTCTTCGGTGAATATTGCGATGCACAAATTCTGAACGTGACATGTGAGATAAGTGGTGCAATTTCTGCAACCGTCGTTATACGCGACGGAACATATCGTCGCGGCGAATGCATCAACGATTTATCGTCCGCGCGATGCAGCAGCCCTCTCTCAAAAAGTTCATCTAGCTCCCGGTGAAAAGGACGTTTTCGCGAATCGCCAGTATTGAATCGACCGTAAAGGAGATATTTACTTGCGAGCGTTAATGGGAGAGATTAATGTGACGGTTTTCCCTTCAAAGAGCGAATACAGGCGGACTCTTTCGCTCTCCCTCGGGCCTCGATTAAGTTCAAGCGCACTGTCAACTGCAGTTTCGCAAAAGAGATCTATATTCTGGATAAAACTGTACATCCTGTAATACTCGCGTTTTGGAATTTCGGTATGCATTTTAATAACAATTGTATAATGAAAATTATTCGATATAATACATAGAAAATATATATATATATATTGTATATATAAAATGTTTATCAATATATTATATTGAATTTCATATCATTAGGCTTTCTTATCTTTTTCTGCTTTCGCGACATAGATCAAACAATGCTGCGATATCAAGAAAAAAATTAGAAACTTTTCATAGGCCATCATAAAGCCTTATATATGTATATATAAGAATTAAGTATTATATGTATATATCAGAAATTCCTTTGGTGCGACATAACGATCAATTAAAATCACAAAGAATTAAGAAAACAATTTTTGATGCATTCAATGTTATTATAATTTTTATGTAATACGATAATGCTATAACAAAGTATATATCAATATATTTACAGGTATTATATGCAACTTGATGCGTGTGCCTTTCACTTTCTATCTTTCTTTTGCATACAACCGTGGTCTACATACGTATCAAACTACATAGTTTGAAAACCAAGACTAGTGAATATACATATTCATGTTTTTTTGCAATTTGATATAACTTCAGTAAATTGATAATACATTTGTAGGTCATTTCATCATGATCTACAAATGTATTATCGATCATTTGATCTGTAAAAATTAATAGAGTTATACGTTCATAGAATTAACTATCTTTCGTCTTTAACGATACGTAATCAACGCAATGTTAATATAATATAAGTATCATATATACAGATATACGATATATACTACAATGTATGAATTCAAATTATGTGTAAAAAAATACAAGAGATATTTATATATTTTCTGTTTTTAAGAAAAAAAATATACGATAAAAGATTCGAATAGAGATTGATATAGTATACTAATCATATTTATTTAGCAAGCAATTAATAATAGGAAAAATTATCAACAGAGAAATTTTGAAATAAAATTTATTCTATACATAGTTATGGTAATTTCGTTGCTTTATTAGTTGTTTTATCGCAGTTTGAAAAAAAGAGAAATATTTCTTTACAACATTTGACGTGAAACGGTTTGCAAAAATGTATTCAAATTTTCTTCTGGCTCTAAATGCAGAAGCTTGCAGGATATATCCCATAAGTTTTTAGCGTATTGATCATCTCTTGCTCTCCATCGTGGAATGTTGACATTGCAATCTCTATATAATAAAGAAAGAAAAAAAACAAAGAAAGCTTATCTAACATATTATAAACAATTTATACATTATAATAAATAGTATGTCCTTACGAATAATAAAGTCCAGTTTCATTAGCCGTTTTTTCATCGACTGAACAATATATCGTTGTTTGTGCTCCTTCTTCGGGAGACTTAAACAATAGCCATGTTAAAAAATTATAAATAAAAGCTGCACCTGGAAATAAGGTGTTACTAGAATGCCGTGTTATGTTTGTCGGTATAA